CTTTGTGGATAAAATTATGGAGAGAATGGTGAATGAAAGTTTATTGCCTATCTGGGAAACAAAGGCATTATAGACAAGGTGCAGGGTGGTTTTACAAGGGGAAGATGCACCATTGATCATGTTGGTACGTTAGGAAAAAATATGAGGCACACAGGGTTTTGGTAATAGCTGTCTTTCTAGACAATGAAAAGGTGTGTGTCATGCTATGGAAGGAAGGCTTGTTGCACAAAGAAAGTGCACGAGTGATAAGGGTAAGACTACATGGGTGGAGTAAAGACTTTTTGAGTAACAGGACCATGCACATCAGCGTTGGGAAAGTTACGCTGAATATAACATTAAAAATGATAACTATAGGAAAGTGTTATCAGCCTAACCTTACTTAATAATATTTGTTTGGGGAGATCATTTATTATAAGTGTCAGGGTAGGGGGACACTCTAGTCACAGATCATTGTGCATTGTGGTTAGGGACAGAAATACTGAGAAAAGAGAATCAACGAAGTGTTACAGGAGACCTCTGACTGGGGAAATGCTTGGGATTTCATGTTCTCCATTGCCAAACTGAAGGACTGATCTTTACAAAATGGAAAGCTTTACAAAGGAATGTAAACTGTATATGTATCAAGAACAAATAGATCTAGTTAGAAGGTTTACATTCCTAGAAGTAATATTTTATACTACATTACTTTGAAACAATCATATAAATTATGTTAAACATAAATGTACAGGAAAGATTAACCTGCTTAAAAGTCTTACTGGGACTACTTTCGGGTGGGGATAAGAAAACAGTGTTGATAGTCTACAGCGCCGCCCCGAGGGCCGCAAAGGGGGCAAGGGGGGGACTGGGGGCTGCGCGCGGGCTGCGACGGGGGTTGTGAGGGAAGGGGAGTCTTCGTCTCTTTTGAGGTTTGGTTCCTGTTTTGCTATCCGTATCCTCCGTTTTGGGGGTTCTTTTTCTTTCTTCTTTTTAACTCTGAAATCGCCGCGGTTTGGGCGTGGTCCCTTGCAAGGCTTTTCCACTCCAGGAGGGGGGGGTTGGGTGTTCTGTTCTAGCGGCGGGGTCCCGGCATGGGGCTTTCCAAACCTGTGGAGGGGTGGTGGGGGGCCACCCCGACCGGTTGGGGGGCTCAGGCGAAATGCGGGGAGTTTGCAAGGGAGAGGTTTTGCCCCCCGTCCCGGTTCGGGGGGGGGCGCGGGGCGGGTGGGTTACGAATCTCGAGTCCGTTGGTTTTGAACAGAAATACGTTTTAAAGGAAATTTTTTCTTGGAAAAGAAGGTCCGCTGAAGCAGCAAGGGTTTCTGTGGCTTTGGGTTCCCGCGGGATCCTCTCCCCCGTTTTTCAAAAGAGGGGGGGTCCCCTTTGTTCTGGGGGGAGGGTTCCAGGGTTTTGAGGCCCAGAGCGCAAGTGTTTCGGGCGACAATCCATCGGAGTGGTTTCATTGCCCAATTCCTTGTGTTTTTCTAAACCCGGTAAAGGTAAAAACGGTGTCCAACCACACGCGAGCAAATCGGGAGGAAAGCAAAGGAACAGCGTAGAACCGGGCGGAGAAGGAGGCGGGGGCCCACAAGGGGAAGGGGGGGGGGGGGGGAAGGAAAGGGGGGGGGGGGGAAGGAAAGGGGAGGGGAGGGGGAGGGAGACCACAAACCACCCCCCCCCATCCCAGAAATCCCCCCACAAGGCGGGAGGTCGAAACGACCGGTCAACCCGCAAACGGGGCGGGACCTAGGGGGAACCAAAGACACAGACAAGTGACGTTAAACAGGCGAGGGTACCCGCGGTCCCAGGTGGAAACCCTTCCGCCCACTTGGAACGGGCCGGATATCAGGAGCAAGGTTGAACCCAGAAATGCCCTTCCTAAGCAAAGGACAACAGAGGGGCGAGGAAAGAAATACCCGGACAAAACGACGAGGCGGAGAGTGGAGCAGAGGGGGAGGGGAGAAGAAAAACCGCGGGGGAGCCAACCCCCCAGGCCAACCCCCTCCCCAAAACCCCCACCCCCCCCCCCCCCCCCCCCCCCCCGCTCGGACATGTTTAAAGACGGGGGCACAACCCCCAAGAACCCCAACAGATTACATCGCAATCCCCAGGGTCCCCCCATCCCCAGATACCCGGAGGGGGGAAAGGGGGGGGAGCCCCGCCCCGTCCCCCCTTGGCCCCATACCCGTCAAGGCTTCCCCTCAATCCACTCTTCTTGCCTACAGCCAAGTTGGTCAGACAAGGGGGTCAGGAATGTGGTTGCATCTATGATGTTTCCCTCCCCTGCGTTGGGGAAGACTGGCAATCAGGAAGCCCAGAGGGGGGACCGCCAACAGCGCACGTTCGAACTCTATCAGCCCGGGGGCCACCACGCCCCCCCCCCCCTCACAGCCCCAGACCCCCGCCAGAGACCCACAAGGACACCTTAGAGAAGGTTATACCCGGGCCAGGCTCCAATAATCTGCCCGTCCCCTTGCGGGGAAAGGGGGTCGCCTGCTCTGGGGGGCCAAGAGGGGAACCAACTAACCCCTCTACCCCTCCCCGGTTTCGGGCTGTGGATATTCTGGGTCCTTTTCAAAAGCAAGAAACTCGCTTTCAGGTTGCCCCGCAATCACCAAAGGGCGCCATCCCCGCATTTCCTGCAAGAGCGTAACGGTGCCCTTCCCAAAAAATGGGGGGAGAGTATGGAGGCAATGAAGCCGGGCTGGCCACAGCCCCCATTTCCCCTTGGGGGTAGGGGGGGGACGCAGGGAGGGATTTCCCAGAATAACTTCGCGACAACCACAACCCCCTCTTTCCAAGAAACTACATAAAAGAAAGTTAAAGTAGGGGTCAGCCCAAAGGGGGAAGGTCGCCAGCCGGATTCCAACCCCCCCCACAAGGCAATCCAACCCTTTTATTAGAGAAAGGGTCGAAGGTGGGAAAGGGGGGGGGAGGGGCCCCATGCCCTTAGCCACTCAGGAGCCCCCCCCGCCCCACCACCCCCTCAACCCAATTCACCTCCCCAAAACAAGAGGGGTAGAATGTTACAGTGTCCTCGAAAGGGGCCCCAAACAATGGGGAATTTTGGCAAGAATAAATAATGAACATAGAGAACGTTTTCACTTGGCTACCAAGGGGTACGCAGCCAGATGTAAGGAAGGTCTTCCTCGAGAGTTCCCTTTGGCAACTAAAGTGAGAGTCCCAGGGGAGGAGAGCCCGCATTTGGAAAAATCGGCAGGGGACTAGAAGAAGGAAATAGAAACGGTCCTTGGCAAGGTCACATCCCCTACAAAAGTGGTTAAGGCCAATAAAAAATCTTCGTTGTTATTACAGTTTCTCAATCCTAATAAAAAAAAAATTTGAGTGCAGAAGTTAACAAAAATCGCTGACAGGCATTTAATCTTACAATGATCTGGGTGGTGTGGGAGTTTTATGAAAAGACTTCAAAATTCTGTAGTGTCTCAAAAAAATGTCTGAGAGGAAGATTCCGAAAAAGAATGTATGATTTTCTGAAATATGTTTGGGCATAAACATGTGAAGTGTTCAGAAACAAAAAAAATTCTTCGGTGGAGTTTAGTCTCCAAATTTTGATTTGAATAGGTTAACAAAGTGATTGTGAAAGTTTAAATAATGGTTAAAATGTCTTGAGATGTGGAAAATATTGTTAGTTTTATGTACTTGGTAGTATGTTTAGAGATGTGTGTCTTATTAACTCTGTTTTTCCTAGGTCAGGAAGAAATCATGTTCCTAGTGAGATTTGGGGGGGTGCATAAATATAAAGGGAAGGGTAAACCCTTTGAAATCCTCTGCAGAAAGTCTCCCTGTAAAGGGTTAAAGTAAAGGTAACTCGTGCATGAAAATAATGAGGAGAAATTTTAAAAGTGGGAGGGGGAGAAAAAATTTTGTGTCTGTCTGTGTGTGTCTTGCAGAGCAGAACAGGAATGGGTCTTAGATTTTAGTAAGTAATCTAGCTAGGTATGTGTTAGATTATGATTTCTTTAAATGGTGGAAAGAATTGTGTGAATAGAATAACTATTTCTGTCTGTATATCTTTTGTACTTAAGGTTTTGCTAGAGGGGTTCTCTATGTTTTGAATCTAATTATGTAAGATATCTACATCTGATTTTACAGGGGGTTTTTTATTTCTATTTACTTCTATTTTTTATTAAAAGTTTCTTGTAAAAACTGAATTTTTATTGTTCTCAGATAAGGGTTTGGGTCTGTGGTACTATGAAATTGGTGGGCTTTTATAACATTTAGGAAAGGGGGGTGAAGTGTTGGGAGGATTGTTCATTGTTCTTAAGATCAAGGGTCTGGGTCTGTAGTCACCTAGGCAAATTGGTGGGCTTTAAACTTGTCAGGAAGTGGGGTGAAGGTTTTGGGAAGTATTTTGGGGGGAAGTCCAAAAGTCTTCCAGTAAATAATTGTTTGGTGGTGGTAGATTAAGGATAACGGGTGTAAAATTTTGTACCTTGGGGAAGTTTTGACCTAAGCTGGTAAAGATAAGCTTAGGAGGTTTTTCATGCAGGTCCCCACATCTGTACCATAGAGTTCAGAGTGGGGGAGGAACCCTGACAACCTTAATCAGATCAATTATGGTGGCCAAGCTTTTGGGTCAACATCAAAATCAGAACTTAAAAAATTCTCCTGTCAACATAATAAAACCACCTCAACGAGCCACGGTAGCTATATCAATGGGAGACGCTCGCCTGCCAACATAGCACTGTGCATGCTACCACTTATGCCATCAAAACTTATTTCACTCATGGGGGTGATTTTTTCACACCCCTGAGCAACATAAGTTTTGCCCACCTATGTGGTAGTGTACACATGGCCTCAGTCTCTCTGTGGATCTGGGCCCAGGTCCTAAGGGCCAGGTTGGACAGCCAAAGTGAGTGAACACTTAATCTTTACTATGTAGCTATTAAACACTGTTTAACTATTACATGTTAAAATTATTATTCTGCTTGTCATTCTATTAAAGCAGTATTATAGGACTAAAGATAGCAACTATCTGGAAAGATTATATGAAGACTACTAACCTTTGTGTTTACTGACTCATCTTTCTTCAAAATGTTCCTTTTGTTCTGAAACTTTCCACGTTTGGTCTTGTCTCAATAGCGAGTTAAAGAAATAAACAGTCTGGGCTACATCCATTCAACTGTTTGAGTTCTGAGAGCAGGAAAGCATGTTTTTATAAGCAGAAAAAAGTTAGATTCAAACAGCTGATCTTCAGACTTCACATGTACATGTCACTGAAGAATAGTATCTGGGGGAGCAGGCAGAGGACAGGAGGGGAATTTTAATTACAATAAAATACTTCATAAAAGGGGATTTGTGCACGCACAGTAAAAAATGTCAGTGTCAGGCCCTGATTCTTCAACTGACTGCTGCATGCTGGCTTAGGATATATTCCTACACAGTCAGTTGCAGAAATTAGACCTTTAATTGTGTAATTGTCTGTGCCAACATTGTATTATATAAAAAGCTTCCCATTTGCAGTAGAACTGGAAAGAGCTTAGTCCAAGTCTGTATTTAGTTCTCTCTCTAAGTACCGTGAGACAAAAATATGCAAAAATCCATAGTGTCTAGAAGGATTTGAAAGAAGAAACAGGGACTGGAATAATTAAGGGTCTGATTTCTATAGTACATTAAAACATTGATAAAAATATGGGCTAGTTTCAGAAATGTGTGTACAACTGTGTGCCTAATTTGCAAGCATATCTACCAGATTTTATATATAAATAAGATAATGAAATAAAAATGGCCATATAAAATTTCTGATTAGTTATTGTGCTGATTTGCATGCACAAATGAAATCTCTAAGTGCAGGATAAGCATACAGTTGAAAGCCCATTTACAACAATCAGGGCCTCTGAATCTAGGGGTTCGATATTCTCTCTTCACACTGGGGTCAATCAGAGGAAATGTCACGGAAATTAATGGAATTACCAGTGTAAAAAAGAGAAACCTGGCATGACCCGGCAATTGGTACTCAGGCCTTTAGTGCCATTGTGCCTTCATTTCCTATTCAAAGTATTACTATAGCTCAGAAGCTTCAACTTCTTGGTAAATATTGACTTTTTAACTATGACTACTGTGTCCTTCATCTCGTGGTATGAAAGAGAGAATGAAACAGCAGGTATGAAACCACTCCCTTAATAGTATGGATCTTTCAGGATTAGAGCTCTTAGAGTTGTGAGACATATGGATAGTTGTTCCTCCTTGTAGTTTGATACTGCTACAGGTCTCCTGGGTAAAATCCAGGCCACATTAAAGTCAATGGCAACATTCCTACTGACATCAGTGGGCTAGGATTCCCCCCTTATGTTCTTGCCATAAGACCCCATTCTCTTGCAGACCCTGAGTCAGCAAAGAACTTGGACAGGTGCTTATGTCCCATTAAAGTCAATGGGTGAGTGGAAAAAGTGCCCTTATAGTTCTGCTTATCATCAAGATGGGCAGCATCAGCTTCGGCTCAGAGATGTCAGTTGTAATTGAATCCTTTTTTGAACAAAACATTTTAGTTTATTCATGTTGACAAGCATATCTTACCTGTGAGCTTTTCAGCTGTTTGGCTGAGTCCAATGGGTGAAGTTTTCATCTAGATTTACTCTATAACTTTTCATGCTGGGCTTCCATAGAAACAAGAGTGCTCTAACAAATATCCAGTGTGGAGATAATTAATTCCAGCGTTGCATGAATTCTGGATTACAGTAGAGGAAAGAAGGGACCCTAAAGATCAAAAGTGGAGTGTCTGGCTTGCTGAGAGCACATGGCTTGTAAAAAGTTTTAGGTGCTGGCATTTTGCTTCCAAAAAGGGATTAAATTAGTTGGATTACCTGTTCTTTTTGTCAAATTTTGCTATCGAAGTTTATAAAAAGGGAAAGTTAAAAGCTTAAAGATGTTGCCAGTCTATAGAAACTCACCTACTTGCCTACAATTTAAAAACTCTACCAATAGAGAACCTCCTAGATCAAATGTATGCATAAAAATATGAAAGTGTCATTACAATTAGAAAAGGAACTACAAACTGGTAAGCAGGTCCTGGTAGCACATGTGGCTCCACTCTTAAGAAGTTGCAAAATATGGACATCACAATATAGGATATTGAGTCAGGGCAAATTGCCAGTAAAATGAAATGGTGTCATCATCCATGTGAATTTATAGTCACTCTCTGGAACAGGTTTTATCAGTGGAAAAACCTAGGGTTACCATTCGTCCTTATTTTCCCGGACATGTCTGGCTTTTTGGTTCTTAAATCCCCGTCCGGGAGGAATATTTAAATATCTAAAAACGTCCGGGATTTTGCCATTATTATTTTTCCCCAAAGAAGAGTGGATCATTCAAGAAAGAGAGTGAATGTTGATCATTCGAGAAAGAAAGTGAATGTTGATCACTCGAGAGAGTGCCTGCTTTTTCCCCCTAGCTCCCAGCTCTTGCCCTGCAAAACAGCTGTTTTGCATGGCTGGGAGGGAGGGGGGAGGAGGGGGAATGCAGCGCTCTCAGGGGAGGAGGCGGGGGCAGGGCAGGGATTTGGGGAAGGTGTTGGAATGGGGTGGAGTTGGGGCGGGGCCAGGGGCAGGGGGTGTGAGCAAATACCCCCCCTCCCATGGAGTGTCCTCTTTTTTTGAATGTTCAAATATGGTAACCCTAAAAAACCTCACCGAAGACGGTCCTTTGAGTGAAACACTGTCAAGATTTTCTGAGCTTCCTTTCCAACAGCTCTGGGTCCACTCATGTTTCATACAGTTCAGTCCTTACAAATGAATATTCAAGTGGATTGAACCTGATTTTGAACAGGAGATCATACTGTAATTACAATCTCAGTCAAAGGCTTTAATACTGGTATTAGAAAGATCAGTAGAGGCGATGACCTCTGAAAGTGGCTAGACAAAACTGACAATAAAAGCATGCTCAGCATGTATCAGAAGGTAAAAGTGACACGGATTCAATAGTATAGGCCATGCCTACCTTGAAATATGTCCATAGAAAGAGACTACTCAGTATTATCTAAGGTTCAAGCTAGTAATAGAATTTCAGTCACTTAGTCCCAAGCCTAATTGTGAGTCCATTAACTATTTTAAAAATATTTTAAGCTGTTTCCTGTTTATAGCAAACACCACCATTAATTGATGCAACTTACTGAGGAAATTTGGATTTTTTTAATTTGAATCCACAAATTTGCAGCCCTCGTTTGGAAACACTATAACTCTGCACAGCCCCTCTATGGAAGTACCCCTATGCACTGAAAACGCTGTGACAGAATGAGCTGCTGTAATTGGCATTCATCTCATGAGTTTGTTTATAGAATGCCCTGAAGAGAGAGTTTTTGTGAGAGTCAGTATGAGCAGATGGAAATAAGAAAGTCCGAGTGATAAAATGTGTGCTTAAAGAAGACATAAAAATTTACATGGAGTCGGAACAGACTGACTCCATTGCTCTCAATTACACTTAGTGAAGTTAATGGTGATTGTATCAGTTTAAATGAGAACAGAATCTGGCACTGTGGATATTACTACTCTGGCTTAGTGGGGAAAATGCAGAAACATTTGTAGCACAGACTATCAGTAAAGAGGACACTAAGGAACTTGATATCTCTTCTGACAAATATGAAATGTGTGTAAAGTTATATCAAAAGCTTGTGGCTATGCAGGCAGTTATGGAGATGAACAGAGTAAAGTATGAAGTAACTAAGATGGTATGGACCCTTAAGCATTGCTAATTACGATCTTGGAGTTGTGTTTAGATCTTGAATTTATGAAATGGGGTAAAACAGTTTGTTTGGGATGCTGAAAGCATCCTATCCTGTTGAGTAAATAGCCTGTACCATTGCATAGTCAGACATTAGAAAGAAGTGTCCTACCATCAGTATTAAATGTCAATTACAGTGGTGGTGTCATCTTTAAATGTGAAAATAGTTAATCCTTAGCTAAAACAAGATTTGCTTACACCTAGACTTCTCAAAATTTCAAGGACAGACCACATCTTTCCTTCCAATTCATGATAGTGCAGACCATGCCCCCTTCCACTTGCAATTACATATATTCCCCATGTTCATTAAAACAATTGCTATGTGGAATAGTATTAGGAGAGATTTCAGAGTAACAGCCGTGTTAGACTGTATTCGCAAAAAGAAAAGGAGTACTTGTGGCACCTTAGAGACTAACCAATTTATTTGAGCATGAGCTTTCGTGAGCTACAGCTCACTTCATTGGATGCATACCGTGGAAACTGCAGCAGACTTTATATACACACAGAGAATATGAAACAATACCTCCTCCCACCCCACTGTCCTGCTGGTAATAGCTTATCTAAAGTGATCATCAAGTTGGGCCATTTCCAGCACAAATCCATATATGCCATCATGTGCCAGCAATGCCCCTCTGCCATTTACATTGGTCAAACTGGACAGTCTCTACGTAAAAGAATAAATGGACACAAATCAGATGTCAAGAATTATAACATTCATAAACCAGTCGGAGAACACTTCAATCTCTCTGGTCACGCGATTACAGACATGAAAGTTGCGATATTACAACAAAAAAACTTCAAAACCAGACTCCAGCGAGAAACTGCTGAATTGGAATTCATTTGCAGATTGGATACTATTAATTTAGGCTTAAACAGAGACTGGGAGTGGCTAAGTCATTATGCAAGGTAGCCTATTTCCCCTTGTTTTTTCCTACCCTCCCCCCCAGATGTTCTGGTTTAACTTGGATTTAAACTTGGAGAGTGGTCAGTTTGGATGAGCTATTACCAGCAGGAGAGTGAGTTTGTGTGTGTATGGGGGTGGGGGGTGGGGTGAGAAAACCTGGATTTGTGCTGGAAATGGCCCACCTTGATTATCATGCACATTGTGTAGAGAGTTGTCACTTTGGATGGGCTATCACCAGCAGGAGAGTGAATTTGTGTGGGGGGGTGGAAGTGAGAAAACCTGGATTTGTGCTGGAAATGGCCCAACTTGATGATCACTTTAGATAAGCTATTACCAGCAGGACAGTGGGGTGGGAGGAGGTATTGTTTCATATTCTCTGTGTGTATATAAAGTCTGCTGCAGTTTCCACGGTATGCATCCAATGAAGTGAGCTGTAGCTCACGAAAGCTCATGCTCAAATAAATTGGTTAGTCTCTAAGGTGCCACAAGTACTCCTTTTCTTTTTGAGAATACAGACTAACACGGCTGTTACTCTGAATGTTGAAACAGTGTAAGTTTCAGTGATTTAAGCAGCAATTGGACTGAAAGTGAAACTCAATTAGCCAGTTTTTGGGGTAACCGGTTTTATGAATGAATGTTGTTTCATTCATAACAGTTTGCTTATGAAGTTATATTAATAAAGTGAACAATTAAAAACAATTTCATTGATTAGTTCTACAACTTGGAAGGTGAAATTTCTCTACTTCAGTTGCATTTTGCCTTAGTTT